CCAGGAAAGTAGGATGGAGAAGAGGAAGAGGAGATTTGACTAGAAAGGTCAAACAGATATTATGCCACAGTTCTCTACAGAATTTCTATCAAATCCCAGGTATTTAGCTGGCCAGTACTATGATGTCTAGATCCATTCAGTTTTTCTTGACCATATTTCATATTTCAATGAGGTTGGATATGTGCTTAAAAATACCCAAAGTGCTATTTGCCGATTCCTAGGCTACCCTGCAAACTAGACAAATAGTGTCAACTCCTGCTTTTCTAGTTTCAGAGTTATTTACTGCTTTCTTTATATCTAGCCAGTCAGCTCCTAAAAATGTACACTCCAATAGACTTCTGCAATCTTGTGTACTTGGAACAATTCCCTAAATAAATTGAGATTCTTAAGGAAAGGCATTTTTGTCATACTGCCATCACCTCCATCACTCATCTTGATTTTGAAATATTGTAAAAATTTTCAAACATGAAAAAATAGTATGGAGAATAACATAATGTATACTTATATATCCAGGACCCTTAGAAAATGTTAATATTTTGACGTTTGTTTCAGAATTTTTAAATAAACTATCACAGATAGTGTTGAAGGCTTCTTTTCATCTCTCATTACCTCCTATTTATTCATTCATTAATGCCTTCATTCATTAACTTTCATTTAAGATATATTGAGCAACTATTATATTATGAAGCCAGGAGATACAAACAAAAAAAATTGAGATTTGCTTCCTTTCCTCAAGGTGCTCCCAGTCTAGTAGTATAGGAGCAGATAAGAAAACCTGGGAACAAGATGAGTGGGACTGGGAAAGAGGACATTCTAGACATTGGGAAAATAATACATGTGTAAATATTCTCATTAAACACAAATTGTATTGAACTGATCTTAGAACAGCTGTGGATGGCAACCCAATGCAAGTGCCAAAAGAGGAAAGAGGAAAAGAACAAACAGGAGGAAATGAAGAAAAATGAAAAGAAAGAGAAGAAATGACATCATAAGCCCTTGGGCTCCTAACCATTTCCTCCTACAACACAGATGAGGGATGATGTTTATAGATATGTTATGCCTCCAGGGCACTTGAATTAGGAGCTGTGGTTTAGATAAGGTATTTGTAGTTTCTGGTACAATAGTATAATTCTACCCTTTTCTCTCTCATGTTGGAATTACATTATCAAAGGGATAACCTGGAATCGTCTCTAATATATATAAAAAGCAAACTGTTTGCAAACTTTGGTTCTTTAATTCTGACTCAGAAGAGTCTGTGCAGAGGCCATTCACATAACCACATGACAACTATGACAGGTCTTGCTATTTTGTATAGGAGCCATCATGGATCTTCCTTCTTCACACATATGATATTTTGCACCAAATGTATGGAACATTTAGTAGTGATATCCCCAGAATGGTTGATGATCTATCTTCAGTAGGTGGATGGTAATATAGAAAGGAAACAACAACAAAGAAATGACAGCGTCTGTATTGAAAAATTGGCAATATAAGACCACAATGAAAGCCAAGGAGTGAAATGGATAAAACTGCAGTTGTACTAACATAGTGACCACTTTGCCTCTTCTTGTTTCTGACAGAGTTATATGGCAGATGCCCTTTTAGTAAATGAAAAACCTGCCACTAAAGAGGTATTTGATGCTGGCCAATTTTATTATAGTTTCTAGTGCCTAGTCTATACTACGGATGTAGACAGTATTAATGCTCAAATACCAGTAGAAAATGTTCTTTTAGGTCTAACATTGTATAATTGTATTTATTTTTTAAAAATAGTAATTGACGATAAGTACACTATACTGAAAAGCATGATGCATTCAAGTTCCTCTTACTCATAAGTAACAAGGTAACTGTAAGGCCTATTAGATGCATGGTAGAAACTTTTCACAAGCTTGACTTTCTTCACATTCTGCCATTCTGCTGGGTCTGGTTTGCTCTTCCAATCAAGATGACTGAAAGCCTACATAGCATCTTGGTGTAAATTAGGAGGTGCCACCTCTGGACTCATGCAACCTTGCAACCTTGTGCTTTCCTGTGAAGAAGAAGGTTCCTTTTTCTCAGAGACAGCTTCAAACCAGCCCACACTAGCCCCACTTGTCCCCTTGGCCAGGCACATTAGTGTAGTACACAAACTGCACAACCAGGTGCCTTGTTCCCAGTGCCAAAATAACATAGCTTTCAGAACAATACGACAAACACCTTCCAATGCTGGGCACTCAGCCAGGCACTGGAAATAAAAAGAGGAGTAGGACAGAGTCTACCTTTGGACTCTGGGAAGAAGGCCATGTAAACAGATTACCACAATAAGACCTAGTAAAGTGATCAACAACAAACACACAAATTGTTTATCACAAATAAAGGAACTATCCATTTTTCTTGGAGGGGGCTGTGGTCAAGGAAAGTTTAGGAAGGAAGAAGTATTTTAATTGCGGTTCACAGAATGAGTAGAAATTCATGAGGTAGGAAAAGGGCATTAGGACTTTTGGTGACAAAAACAAGTTTAAGAGTCTCTTCCACACCACAAACCTTAGGAAAGCCTTGGGTTGCAGCTTCATCACTTTGATTTAGGTCTTGGGTCCCACAATTTTTATTGGGTTTGTCTTTCTATGTCACTTTTTATCTTTGAAGCTCAGCGGTGGGATTTGTATAAACAGTGTAATAAACAGTGTCCATTTGCCAGGACTGTTCCCCTGCGTAGCTCTCTTGGGAGTTTGTGGAGGCAGTAGGTGGCTGGTCAAAGGCCAGGGATTTGGGAGAGTGGCCAAATGGCCTCCTTGAAGATACAGCACACAAGGACATTCCAGGAAGTGGGAGCAGCATAATCTCACAGTATTTTGTTTGCCAGATGGAAGTATCTTTAGTGATAAACATATTTAATCTGCTGTAGGTATGACCTTTGATTATGCAATAGAATTGTGGATCAGAATGTAATTTTTAAAAGACTTAGACTGCTTATTTCCCTAGAAGGATCAATTACTTTTGCCCAGAAAAGCTGTTCTAAGACCACAGACTACATTTCTAACTTTAGTGAACCTCTTCCTTTGTTGACACATGCTATTGGTTGCCAAAACCAGGAGGAAATGTGTGCATAGCATACCTCCACACAATCCACCGTCACTCTCAGAAAAACAACTCACTGTGTGTCCTTTTGGTAGGAAGTCAAAGAGGGAGAATGATTATACACAGGCATCACACTGTATGGGGTGGGGAGACTGGAGGCAATGACTTTTATTTCTTCTATGGTAGGAACTCTGATGTTGCTGTGATATTTTGAAATGAATGTCCTCTGAACCTGTTTATGGAGTTCGAGGAGGACTAGAAGCTTCACTGAGCACTGTTCTGCACAGTAAGACATCAACTACAAACCTGTTGACTGTGTTTTTATTTAGTTCCAGGCCACACACTCATAAAACAGGTTCTCCTTTGATGACCTCTATGTTGAAATAAAAGGTGGTGATGAGTTATGCAGCACCAGCCCTCAGGAACTGCTGAGAGCCCTCATTGCAAGAATCTGATAACCACAGAAAGCACTGAGGAGTACCTCCCTGCTCTTGTGTGTGATACTCCAGTGCCTGGAACACTCCTTTGGAAGCTTCCAGTAACTGAGGACTAGAAAACCCTGGCCCATGTTAGTACCTAGGAAGGAGTCATTAAAAAGAACCTGAGACAAACCTTCGTAAACACAAAAAGCACATTCCTACAAAGTGAGCCATTAAAACACATCAGGTCAAAGAATAAAGACCAGAAACAGCCAAAAAGAATCGAGAAATATGTCAGCCTGTATTTGAGGATCATGCCAAACAGGATTACACGTTGATGAGTGTCACCAAAACACCCTCAATCATCCCATAAGACTTCACATTCTTCACCTCAGGAATATGAAAAAGATAACCTCATTCCACCAGTTGCTTATGCCAAAAATCTAGGAACCATCATTTCTTTCTTTTTTGTTTTCACTACCTTCCTCCCACCCCACCATCAATCCATCAGCAAGTCAACCTCCAAATTATATATTGATCTATCCTCTTTTTATCTCTACTGCCACCATCCCAGTCCAAGAAACAATAACTCTTACCCAGGCAACATCAATAGCCCACCTCTGCTGGTTTCTCCACATTCTCTCTGGCTCACTGTCCACCTCTAATTTCTGTATGGCAGAGGCCTTTCTAAGCATAAACAAATGGAAAACAATTATCAAAGAAAAAGTTATAAATTTGACAGTGTAAAAAGCTTAGCATTTTAAATGTCAAAAAAAATATCACCAACATATCCCTTAGCAGTAGGAGTGAGAGGGCTGGGGGAGAGAGAACTTTTACTTTTTACTATATATGTTTTTGTATTATTTAATTTACTCAGTGAGATTGTACATCTTTTAAAGTAAAAAAAAAAAAAAAAAGACACACTATAACATATTATAAAGAAGCAAAATAAACAACAAACTGGAATATTTAATATAATATGACAAAGACTTAATAGCTTTGATAGCCTTAATATATAAAACCTCACATAGATTAAAAAGACATTAAGATCATCAAATATTACCCATCCTTAAAATGGGTAAGGAAAAAAAAATTATACTTTTAAACAAACTACTAGGTTTTTAACCCCTCAAAAATGGGTAAGGATGTTAACAACAAATCACTGAAAATTAAATACAAATATGTAGTAAACAAAAAATGATCTGTCTCAGAGAAAGATAAATACTATACGATTTCACTTATATGTGGAATCTAAGGAACAAAAAGAACAAACTAATCAAAAGCAGACTCACAAATATAGAGCACAATTTGGTGACAGCCAGAGGGGTGGGGCGTTGGAGGCTGGGAAAAAGGAGTGAAGAGTTAAAGAAGTACAAATTAGTAGTTGATGGTCACAGGGATGGGAAGAAGGGCATAGGGAATGCAGTCAGCAGTAATGTAATGACTGTGTGTAGAGCAAGAGGAGAGAAAGAGCAATCAGGGGAATTGTTTCATAAACTATATAAATATCTAACCAGTGTACTGTATACTTGAAACTAATAATTAAAAGTCAAAGCAAAAACAAACTGAGAAAGAAGGACAAAGGGCTAATCTCCCTCATGTTTATCAGAGTCCCTAGAAATCAATATGGAAGATCTACAACCTACAAAAAAGTGGGCAAAGCTAATAAAAAGATAGTTTATAGGAAAGGATATAAGATGCTCATTTTCACTCTGAATAAGAGAAATGCAAATCTGGAATACTAATTTTACTTTTCCAATTGGCAACAATCCCAAAATTTGGTAACATCCTTTTGGCAAGACTGCGAAGAACTGGGTTCTCTCATAATAGCTAGGAGGAGTGCAAAATGCCACGAACTCTATGAAGGGAACTTAGCAGCATCTATCAAAATTATAACTTTATATATCCTTTGAACCAGAAATTCTACTTCTGGGAATTTATTTATGCAGTTGCACACAAAAATGATGTTCAAGCTGATAATTTAAGTACACTGTCATAGCAAATGATAGAAAAAAACCAAATGTCTACTAATATAAGACTGGTATATTAAGCAATATAGCACCATAAAAAAAAAAATAGTGAAACTCACTATGAACTTATATGGGGATATCTGTAAGAGAAATTATCAGGAAAGAAAACCAAAGTGCACAATAATGTGAACAATATCTTTTATGTAATAAGATGGGGGAGAGACCAGACTCTATATTCATATTGCATATGTATGCATAAATAAAGGATACTGTATTAGTTATTTATAGCCATATAACAAATTACCTAACTCTTAATGGATTATAACAACCAATACTTATCTCATATGGCTTTTGAGGGTCGGGAATCTGGAATTGGCTTTGCTGGATGGCTCTGGCTGGGGGACCCTCATGAAGTTGCAGTGCAGTTGTCAGCAGGGGCTGAAGTCATCTGAAAGGGCTAGAACATCCACTTCTAAGCTCACTCACATGACTGTTGGCAGGAGGTTTCAGTTTCTTGCTGGATGGGCCTCTCCACAGGGCTGCTCATGTAACATGGCAGCTGGCTTCCCACAGAGCAAGTGATAGAAAGGGTGAGAGATAGACAGAAAGACATAGATCGGCAGATATGGATGGATAGAGGTAGATATCCCAAGATGGCAGGTATAGACCTTTTATAACCTCATCTCAGAGGTGGAATAATATCACTTATGCTGGATTCTACTTGTTAGAAGTGAATCCAGTTCATGTTAATGGGGAGGGGAATTAAGATCAATCTCTTGAAGGAGGGAGTATCACAGAATTTGTGGACATAATTTTAAAACCACCACAGATACATACTAATGATAGTGATTACCTATGGTTTGTGGGGGAGTGAAGGGATGAGGAATGGGGAAGATAAAAATTTTCACTTGTGTCTTTAATTGTGGTAAAATATACATAAAATTTACCTTAACTATTTCTAAATGTATAGTTCTGTATAGATGTAGATGTGAACAAAACCAACTCCATATCTGTGTCCCGGTTTCATTTCATTTTTAAGTTTCACGCTGTGACCTCTGACCAATTTCAGTGTCCTTAGCAAGCATATCAAAGCCTTCTAGTTGATGATTATCTGTGTTCCTTAAAATGCAGCCATAAATATTTTTGTTAGTAATGGTGACCGAGATAAATATAAAACTGGTGATAGTATTGATATAAACAATCACCTATCACAGACTACCAGGAGATATGGCCCCTGGTGCCACTGCATTCTTTGTCCCTTTGGCTTGTCAATCATTAGTACCTGAGTTATACTATATAAAAAAGTACAGTAACAGGGGTCTGTAACAGAGAATAACCTGTGCAGAATTCCTGAGTCATCCATTCCACTCTGACTCAATCTTGTAAATAAATCACCCTATAACAAATTCTGTTATAGTCTATGGGGTTATCTGTACCATTCTTTGGACTAAAGATACCTTTTGGTTATGGTGGCCATTACACCTTTGCCCCACCATCAGATAAGTTCTGTGGCATTAAGTACATTCGCATTGTTGTTCAACCATCACCACCTTTCATCTCCTGAATTCTTATCATTTTGCAAAACTGAAGCCCTACCCATTTAAACAGTAACTCCCTACTCTTCCCTCCTTCCAGACCCTGGCAACCATCATTCTACTTTCTACCCCTATGAATTGATTATGTCAGGTCTACCTTATATAAGAAGAATCATATACTATGTGCCCTTTTGTGACTGGCTTATTTCATTTGACGTAATGTCCTTAAGGTTCATCCATGTAGCATGTGTCAGAATTTCCTTACTTTTTAAGGCTGAATAACATTCGATTGTGTGTATACACCACATAGTTTAATCATTCATCAGTCAGCGAACATGTGGGCTGCTTCCATTCTTTGGCTATTGTGAATAATGCTGCTATGAACATTGGTGGACAAATATCTCTTAAGAGTCCTCACTTGTATGTTTTTATATTTGAAACTGTTTGCACTAAGGAAATTACATTAGGCTGCACAACAAACCACCCCAAAAGTTGATGACTTATAACAACAATTTATTATTTCTCCTGGTTCTATGGTGGGCTGGGCAGGTCTTCTGCTTATTTACCTGGCCTCAGTCACATAGTAGCATTCTGCTGAGAGATCTGGTGGGCCCAAAGGTCCAAACTGGCTTCATTCACAGGTCTGGCAGTTGGCCCTGGCTCTTGCCTGGTTCTCCTCCATGTTCTCTCTTATCCTTTAGTAGGTCAGACCTATTTCCTTACATAGCAGACTCAGAGAAGTGTTGAAGAGGGGTAAGGAGAAGCTGCAAGATTTCTGAGGTGTAGGCTCTGGCACTTAACACCATGTCATCTCTCTTATCTTCTTTTGGTCAAAGGAAACATCGAAGATGGCTTAGATTCAAGGGGTGGGAAATGGATTCTACCTCTTGGTGAGAGTAGCTACAAAAATTGGTGGCCATATTTAATCTACTACGAAATCTATTAAAAAATATCAAATAAAAATAGTTACAAATAAATATTAATGATATGGAAAAAATCATGTTATAATATTTTAAAAAGCAGAGAGCAAAACTGTAAATGAATTATGATTTCTATCTGTACCACTGTTATCTCCTGGCTCCCTTACCTCTCTGATTACTTTGTTTTCAGTCTTTTTTCCTGTCTCCACTAGAGATAATGGCTCAACTCAAAATGGCTTAAATAGTAAGGAATATGGATAATTTCACATCACAAAAAATTCTGAGGAAGAGCAGCTCCAATGGTATCTACTCACTAATGTCATCAGGAACTGAAAGCCACGTCGGCATTTCTGCTTGGTCCTCAGGCTAGTCTTCCTCATGGCTGCAGGATGGCTGCTTCAGTTACAGGCATCACATTCAGAAATGACAACATCCAGAAGAAGAGGTATTCATCTTTCTTGTGTCTCTGTGTCCCTCTCATCTCTTTCTTTTGAAAAAAAAATTTAAACAGGAAAATTTATACAGAAAAGTTGAGAGTGCTGCAATGACTAATCATATACTCTCTACCTAGATTCAACAATTGATAACATTTTGCCGCATGCCACAATTGACTAATCTCTCTCCTTTACTCTGTGTTATATATATCCCACACATAAAACATATGTCATGTTTTATTTCCTGTATCATTTGAAAGTAAGTCATATACATCATGACAATTTACCCCTACACAATTCAGCTTTTATTTCCTAAGAATAAAGATGTCTCCTGTAGAACCATAATATCATCACAATAAAATTAACAGAATTTCTTAACATCATTTAATACAGCCCAAGTTCAAATTTCCTCAGTTGTTCCTAAAATGTGTATTATAGCTTATTTTTTTCAAAGCAGAATCCAATCAAGTTTCATACATTACATTTGGTTTTATATTTCTTTAGTATCTTTTAATTATGTACATTCCCTGAATTCGTTTTCTTATGACATTGAGTTTTTCTTTGGAATTATTCTGATATGTTTCCTCATGGTGTCATTTATCTTGTTCTTCTTATCTTTGTATTTCTTGCAAACTTCAAAAATAGATTTAGAAGCTTAACTAGATTTATGTTGAACTTTTTTGGCAATACTATTTCAGAAGCGGTATATTGTACATTGTGTCTCCTTTTATTAGCAAGGGAACTTTCTTAGAAGCCCCCACAGTGGACTTTTCCACCAGTGTCATTGGCCAGAGCAGGGAAATACACATTGTCCTGGACCAATCACTGGTGATGACAGTTGAAATATCATGCTTAGGTAGGGTCGTAAGATGTACCTCGGTGGGCTGAGGATGGTATCTGGTTCCTCTAAGGAAGGAGGGTGGATGCATGTGCAAAGGGTTTTGCTGAGTGAAAAAGCAGGCAGCATCCTTTCTCTGACCCTTTTGTGCATCAGCAAGTTCTGTCAGTGCTACCTTTACCACATGTCTGATATCTACTCATTTTTCTTCATCTCTGCTACTACACTTGTCCAGTCACTAACAACCCTGGCCCAGTTTCCAGCCCAAAGCTCCTAATTGGTCTCCCTACTTCCGATTATCCTCCAGGCACCAGAGCTGTCTTTTAAAATCTAATTTGGATCATGTCAAACCACTGCTTCATCCCCTTCAGTGGCTTCCCAGTACACTTAAGATGAAGCCATAATTTGGTTCCTGCTTACCTCCACAGTCTCACATGGTCCACCTTCCTACACATTCAGTAAGTGCCAGCTACATAGGCTTTCCTCCTGTTCTTTAAATGTGGTGAATCCTGTACTGATTTAAGGCTTTTGCATGTGCAGTTTCCTCTTGTGAAACACGACCTCCCCCCTCGTCTGCAGCAGAATATAGTAGTTGTTACAGGCTAAATTGTAACCCCCACCCCCCAATACACATGCTGAAATCTTAACCTCCAGTACCTTAGTATATGTGTCATTTAGAGATAGGGTCTTTAAAGAGTTAATTAAAGTAAAATGAGATCATTAGGGTGGGCCCTAATCCACTATGACTGGTGTCCTTATAAAAGATGAACTTAGGACACAGGCACAGATGAGGGAAGAACATGTGAGGACACAGGGAGAAGGTAGCCATCTATAAGCCAAGGAGAGAGAGGCCTCAGAAGAAATCATACCTGCTGACATCTTGACTTTGATATCTAGCCTCTAGAACTGTGAGAAAATAAATTTCTGTTGTTGAAGCCACCTAGTCTGTGGTACTTTGTTATGGTTGCCCTGGCAAACTAATACAGTAGTTAAGCAGCTGAATCCTGGAGCAGCCTTCCTAGGTATAAATCTTGCCTCTGCCAATTACTAGGTGTGTAACTTTCGGCAAATCCCTTAACCTTTTCATGCCTTGGTTTCTTTTTCTGTAAAATGGGAATGATAACAATAGTACTGACTGACAACTACCCAGTTTGCCCCAGTCTGAGGGGCTTCCTAAGATGCAGGACTTTCCATGCTAAAACCTGAACAGTGACCCTAAGCTGAATATGGTTGTTACGAGGCTGAATTAATATCTGTAGCATATTAGAAGAATGTCTAGGACATGGTAAGCACTAAATAAGTAACAGGTACTGTTACTATTAATTATATTTCTGATCTCATTTTAACTGTCACTTTCTCAGAGATACTTTCTCTGACCCCATAATCCGGATTAGGACTCCCTGATAAATTCTTTCATAATATCTGGTTCTTTTCTGTCAGTGTTTTCCCAAAATCTATTTTCCTCATTTTCAATAACAACAGGACCCCTGATTTCTAACTGGGCATGCGACTACCTGGAATAAAGACTGTGATAGCTTCCCTTCTGGAAGAGTAAATTTTGACCAATGGGATATGAGCAGATGTGATATGTGCAAATTCTAGGTTACACCCTCCAAACAGGAGGTTATTAACCCAAAAAAGCTGTGGGTAGAATTCAAGGGGTCTGTGAACTTGCATGAGAAAAAAATTATAGCTGTATTTTCACAAACTGCTAACTGAAATTTAGCATTTGTTTCAATGATGAACACAGCAACAAAGCACAGAGAATTAGCAGTAACTGTGATCTTGTCACCAAGTGAAACCAAAGACATTTTCATAGCACATAATAGTTTTACAGATATCTAATACTGTTTATGGTCATCACCACTATGAAATTAGACTTGATTCTAGGTCTTATTACTTAATACTTAAAGCAGCATGCATTGCTATATGCCATGGCACAAAAAATGGTTAAGGACTCTGCCTTAAAGAGAAGGGCATCTTGACCCTTACCCTTTCATTCTTGTTGCATGTGGAACTAGTAATGAGGTTAGACCAAAAGTGACCAAAAGAGCCTAGGTCCCTAGGACCTTGGAATTGCCATGCAACCCTAGATTGCTTACACCCAAACTGCTACTTGAAAGAGGAAAAAATGTTTACTTTGTTTACAGTATTGTTATTTTTAGTCTTTATTAGAGCAGCTGAAACTTTAGCTTCATAAATACATCGCAATTATCACATTCTGTAACTATATATATATTTGTGATGGTTTTTGTTTGTCTTTATTACTAAAAAATAATTTAGTAATTTTTGAGCACATGGAGCATGTATATTTGTTCACAATGAAATAAGTAACTGGTAAAAGTGTGGGCACAGAGTAGACTCTCAATACATGTTTTAAAATAAATGAAATAATAATAAATGTTTCTGATCATGTTAGGCTATTACTGTACAGACAATATGTAAAAACAAGCAAGAAGCCTATGCATAGGAAAAGGGTTAGAAGAAAATACCAAAACATGAACAGAAACTGTTTGAATTATAGGTTTTAGCATGATTTTTTCCCTTTTTTTTTACATTTGTCTATATTTTCCATATTTCCTTCAATGAGGTTATATATATATATGGAAAAATACATATGGTGAATATATTAGTGAAAAACATGTAACAAAACAAAATAGACCAAGGGGAATTTGATCTCTGAGGGCCTCAGAGAAGGAGGTATGTGGAGTATCTTGTCCAGGTAGGAGGTTTAACTACCTGTAGTCTGGTGTAGACCTTCTCATGCTCTTTAGATAATCAAAGTGTCATATAAAAGCCAACAGGCCAGGCTGACTCTTAACATAAGGAATGAAACTCACTTAACAGAGGCCATGGAAAGAAATAAGGTAGAGCAATAGGAACAATAAGGCATGATTTAAAATGCAGCAATGAACCACAGGATAACCTTTATTGGGTTAAAACTTGGAAAGAAATATATTTTATATACAGTTACACAGTTATAATCACCATGGAGTTATGTATTGAAAAAGGACATTGTAAGCAAATGTCACAGCTAAAAGCCAAGATAACAAATTGTGCCTCTGTGGTCATTTACTTGTTAACGTTAATATTTTGGTTAAGGATTGAGCTTCTACCTTGCTTATAACCTTGATTGAATAAAGGTTTATGCATATTCAAATACATTTGCTTTCATACCAAGAAATTAGAATAAGGAAATATTTTAATGTACTCGTAATTCTAAAAAAATTAATTTCAAGATTAGCAAATAACATGTTCAATAAACGTTAGTTGGTGACAGTGTGTTATCTATAGCCTAATATTGAAAGTTTTTCCTTTGTTACCATTAATTGGAATTCTGCCTTCAGATTTATATATATATAGGCTCATAACCACCTTTAATATGCATTTGCAATTACTAGAAATAGCTGTATTTTTCAATATAGATTGACTGGCCTGAGACAAGGAGACAAATTAAACACTTCCATCAGAAAGATGTGAAACTGGATACTGGAAATAAAATGGAAGAGAAGTTACTGATAGCTAATGGTAGCTGTTAAAAAAACAATTTTTAATAAAACTGTATAATCATAACTTTTATATACATATAAAATGAACATGTGTCAAAAATTTCATTTAATTCATTAATGAGGGAACCGGTAAGATGTTGCAACCAATTCAAAGATATTCAAAATAGCAGATATATATAGGCAGTCGGGAATATTTAAGTAAATCTGCTTAATAGGTACGAAAACTGGGAAAACTGGTCAATATCCACGGAACTATAATCAACTGCATCTCCTAAGGACATAATTTGCATATCTACCAATAATAATTTGTATTACTGCCAACATTCTGCAAATTACAGAATTTTAAAGTAGCTCAAAGACAACGAAAGGCACAAACACCTCATAGAATCAGATAAACTGGACAGTGTCTAGCTTTCCATTGCGACACCCAGCAATTGTTTTGGTCCATTTAAACAGTCTTTCTTAGTGTTTTCTTTACATAGTTGACTTGTATTGAATGCTATTTATGCACCAGGCACTACTCTGGGTGCCTTAAATGTATTAACTCATTTAATTCCCACAAGAACCTTATGAAGTATGTCCTGTTATTATTTTCATGTCATAAGGGACAAGGAAAGGTAAGTCTGTCGCCAAAGGTCACAGAGATAGTAGGAGGTGGAGCCAGGATCTGAATGCAGTAGTTTTGCTCCAGCTATGCTGCCATGGATGTCACTATGTGAAGGAAAAGAAATGATAGGACCTGACCGGTTAGAATTCATTAGATATAAAAGAAGAAAGAGGTAAGGATGACTCCAAGGGTGTTTCCCCTGGTTGTGAGAAGGTGGACACTGTCCAGATTATAAATAAAGGGATTAAGAAGAGGAATTAGTTTGATTTCATTTTTAGACATGTGGACTTTGAAGTAATGGCAAGATGACCAGATGGGAAAGACCATCTGGGCAGGAGATCAGATTTGGAGATGAAAGTGAGTGATTTTTTTTTAATGGAGCAGGTTTAAACTGGTATAAAAACACAAGTGTAGTCTGTCAGAGTTAAATGACAGAAGCCAGAGGGAAAAATAGAACATTATGCAGGAAGGACTGAGGTCCTGCCATAGGCTGAAGAGAAGCAGTTTCAGGGAGTAAAACCAAAGCAGTGTAAATTGGCTAGAGTTCTTAAATCCAGACAAGAGGATACTACACTACCTTTGGGTTTAAGGAGAAACATTAAGCTGGAACCACAAATGCAAACAGCCAGAGTTGAGGTTGAAAGGTAAACAGACGCTATATTATGGAGGGGCTTTCTCCAACACTTGTAAAGATTGTCAAACAGGGAAGTGTCACGATCACATGAACTTTTAAGAAAGAAACAGTCAGGCTGCAGCTTGAACAGTCTGGGCAATCTGGAAGAAGGAGGTGTCACTGGGATCCAGAGGTAGGCAGCTGCGGGCTTACACTCGGTCAGGTTATTACGACTAAATCCAACTCTAATATTTGAGGGGCCTGAGGCTAAGAGTACTAAAAGAGGCTCACATACCACATGAATAAATATTTAAAAGTTATAAATAAAGCTAGTAAACTGTCAAAATATTCTCTAGCCTCCTACCTGGCTAAATATATCCTCAGAAGGACCTGAAAGGGAGGGGAAGAGGCGGGCAGGATCGGCGGATTTAGGTGGAGCCTTCCTGAAACCAAGACAGAAAAACGCGACGGTGTCCCAGATGCAGAAGACCACAGCGACACCTGGCTCTCTTCTGAACTGCGTCTAGAGACTGTCTTCCCGCCGCTGAGAAGAGTGCGTGTGGATCGGCCGGGGGTGTGGCGTGGCCGCGCGCCTACGGCGCAGGGTCGAAGGGCACGCGACGTCTGTGTAATGGCTGCCTCCACGCTGGGCTCGGCGTGGGGCCCTCTACGGCTTGGCGTACCCAGCCTGTGCTGTCGCCGACCGCCCCGAGGCCTATGGGCGCGCGTGCGGCGGCTCCCGGGGTTCCAGGGGCCCGCGGGGTCCGGGCGGAGCGTGGCTGCAGCCAGCGGACCAGGCGCCTCGGGCACTGACCAGTACTGCATGGAATTGCTGCGGTGAGCGAGCCCGGCCTGCCTCCGCGAAAGATCGAGGAGCAGCCGGAAGGGGCCCGGGTGTACGCTGCGGGATTCGGAGCCTCCGAGGCGAGCGGACTGGCTCCTTTCTCGTAGCCCTTACCGTGTGCGCTCGGGTTGGCTGTAGGTGAAAGTGTGGGGACTAAGGCGACCTTCACACGGGTGACAAAATTGTGGCAAAATGCTTTCGTCTATCACCTTGCCTAAACCTTAATTTTTACCTGTTTGAACATGTTGCAGAACTTTTTAAGTTGGAAAGACGACTAGTAATTAATTTTAATCACAACAGTATCTAACAGTTCTTCCTGTGTATCAGACACTGTGCAAAGTAGCTTACAAGTCCCATTGACCCTTGAACAACCCCCTTCAAAAATTCCAGTATAACTTTTGACTCCCCTAAAACTTTACTAATAGCCTACTGTTGACGGGAAGCTTTACTGATAACATAAACAATTAACATTTTGTATGTTTTATGTTAGGTAGTATATTCTTACTCAAAAGTAAACCAGAGAAAAGAATGTTAAGAAAATCATAAGAAAAAGAAAATGATAAGGAAGAGGAAAAAACACAGTATATTGAAAAAAGTCCGCATGTAAGTGGACCCACACAGTTCAAACTCTTGCAGTTGAAGGGTCAGCTGTAATTTGCTTTATTACAAATTGTGGCAGACAAATGTAGACATACTGCTTAAGGCTATGATTATTAAAGCGTTTAGAACGATGCCTGGCACAAAGCAAGGGCACAGTTAGTGTAAGTCACTATTATCTAATTTAATGGACTGGGTTACGAAGGTTTAGAGCTCAGGACCCCAAGCGAGTGGCCTGTTAGGGACTGGGCCACATAGAAGGAGGTGAGCAGCAGGCAAGCGAGAAGCTTCATCCGTATTTGCACCCCAGCATTAGCATCACTGCTTCAGCACCACTTCAGATCATCCAGCATTAGATTCTCATAGGAGCACTGGTTCCCAGTGCCAAAAACGTTGGGACCGCTGGTTTAGAAAAATTAGGGACTTTACCTGAGGTTCATCAGTATAGCATTGTAAAGTCAGGGGTCTGAGGACAGTTTTGTTCACCGTGGTAACATTAGAAATCCTGGCACATGGGAATTACAGTTAATCATTCGTGGAGTGGAGTTGGTTGACTCAGGGCCCCTGACACATCTAGGCGGGGGCCTGTCTTGGAATCCAGGCATGACTGTAGAGACCAGTGGCTTAGCCTACCACTGCCCTTTTGCTGTACTTGATTCAGAACATTGATAAAAATGCTCAAAGTACCTGGTCTCAGGGACTCTTGAGGTGTTAGAATAATTAAACTACCTTGGGTTTGATTGGACTAGTAAATCTGATTTTTAAAAATTCCTTTTAGCAGAATGTAGCATAACAACAAAATTCCCACATGTTTTGTTTTTAATCACTTTTTTGCAATAGTGTTTCTCCCTCACCTTATTTGTAGATTACTTATAGGGGAAACAAGATAGCAGTAGTGGAAATCAGTGTATTAAGAATTTTAAAAGCCAAAACTGTAAAAAGATTTTTATATATTTTGAAGGTGTCATTTTGTTTTGATAAATTTGTTACCACAATGTATACCACTCATATCCACTTGTCCAGTGAAATTTTTCTTTAATACGGTAGGGTCCTAATTTATCCAGAGGTGATAAATTAGATTCCTAAGAGAGCCCCATGAGTAAGAGTGATCAATCACTCTTACTCATTTCTTATGTATTCTTTCAGTAATAGTTGATGGATATCACATGACAGCTTTTCTCAAATATATATTTACAAATGGCCAGATACTTATCTGTTCATGGTTGTATTTGAGTGGAATGGAGGCTGTTGACTCTAGTGATTTATTAAAAAGCTGGGATTTTGCAGGCAGACCTGATCTGAATTTATTGATCCTAGCTCTGTTGCTTGACAAAGTTACTTACTTTTAAGATTCATCTTTTTCCTCTTTTGTATATTTCTACTCCTTCCTTAATCATAAGGATTAAATGTGATGTCTATAAAAGTGCTGGCATGTAACAAATTCTCAATAAATAGTTTTTAAATAAAAACAAAATGAAACTTGAAAGTAAGATTAGAACTTCTAGTTTATATGGTCCATTAGTCTTTGCAAGATTTGGCCTCTTAAATTATTTGTGCAGGTTGTTTTGGACATGTGTCTTATGCAAAGCCTCCAAATATCAGAAAAGATACCAGGCCATAACTTCAGGTTAGCCAATGGGGCTCTCTTAGGAATCTAGATTTCTAGGAAAATCTCAAATCTAGTTTACATAGGCTTCTTGGGGTTCGGTAGCTCATTTGAACTGCTTTCTCAGGCTTTGAGATTAGAACTATAAAGAGAAGGTGCTAGCGATGGTGTCTGGAAGTATACTTGTTCTCCATTCTACAGCCTCACTGGAGAGCCAGTTCTTCCTTCCTTTGTGCTTCCATGGCACAGGTTCATGGAATTAGCACAGCAGTCCTATTACCAGATATGCTTGTTTGTTTCTCCCTACTAGACTGAAGTCTTTACCTATCTTCAGTGTCTAGCACACTGCCTAGCACTTAGTAGGCATTGAATAAATGTTAGAATGAAGAAATGAATGAAAGGTTACTGGCCTTGTTTGCTGTACAAAGCCATCATAGTACGGCATTTTCACTATATGGAACAGTTCTTAGGTAACTTAGACCTTAGTTTGCCACTTAGGATATCCTCGTGTACCAATAATCAATATTTATAACAATGATCCTGAGTGATGAAGTGGTTAAATAATTAGTACATCCTATTTTTAATGTAAGGAAATGGGTAATATTGTTTAGAAAAATTTCCAACCAAAAATTTAAATAATTGTTAAGAGGGCAAACCCTTATCTAGCTGTATAGCATATTTTATTTCCAAAAGGTCGTTAATAGTTCTATTACATCTTAATTTCGTTTTTCATTTCCCTGTAAGAAACTTGAAATACTTTACATATTGGTTATTTTTAGAAGATATGAAACAGGTAGGTTATCATGCCTCATTTGTAAATTAGGAAATAGACATGGCTGGTATCATTTCTGTCAGAACTAGATGAATGATGGAAATTAAGTGTTTTCCCACTGTTTCATATTAACTTCCGAGTGTTTTAAACACTTTTGAAGTTCAGAGACTTTATAGTAAACTTAAAATGCTTATATTTATATATATTTAAAAATATAAGTTATAGAGCTGTTTTACCTCCACTGTTCATTTTGTAGCTGAAACCACTTATGGTGAGATTTTTTTTTTTTTTTAGTAGAGCTGTCTTGTGATAGCGGAATTACTATCCATCATCTCTTACTTTTATGTGGAAGTTAAGGAAAATCGTAAAGGAGGTGGCTAGAAGACATCTAAGTTCTCTGTTAGGCACGTGACAAAATTTGAATTAATTGAAAAGTGAGAGTAGTCTGAATTTCAGTGGCTGAAGTCCATGGAATGAGGCTGAATCCATTTTATACTGAATACTGTTTTATAGGAAATAATGTTATAATAAAGTTCCAGTATGTTACAATGAAAGTAACCTTGTTGATAGGTAGTCTGGTAAATACTTTATACTTAATATTCCTAGAATGAATACAGTATGGAGTATATTTTTAAAACTTTTTATTTTGAAGTAATTTCAAATTTACATAAATATTACAGAAATAGTACATAGAGCTTCAATATACTCTTCACTCAAATTCCCTTAATGTTAACATTCTGAACCATTTGAGAATAAGATGTAGACATGATGCCCATTACCCCCTTTATGTTTTACTGTGTATTTAGTACACAAGGATTCTCTCCTATACAGCTATAGTAGAGCCATCAAAATCAGGATGTTAAAATTGTTCCAACATTACCATCTAATCTACAGACCCCTTTTGAATTTTGCTAATTATTCTGTATTTCATATACCTAGGATCATATTCTACACTTAGTAGTCGTATTTTTTTAATCTTCTCCAGTCTGGAACAGTTTCTCAGTCTTTCATGAACTTGACATTTTTTGAAGAAACTGGCCAGTTACTTCGTAGAATCTCACAATTTGGGTTTATTTAGTGTTTCCTCATGATTTACATATTTTTGGCAGGTATATTACAGAAGTGATGCTGTGCTTTTCTCAGTATCCTATCAGGAAGCACAAGACATTAATTTATCCTATTACTATGGTATGAAATTTTTATTACTTGGTCGAGAATGTGTATTTCAGGTTTCTTCCCTGTAAATTTAATTAATAAGAATGTTAATTCGTAGGTAATACATATTTTCTGAGGAGATACATCAATACTGTGTAAATATCCCGTTTCTCTCAAACTTTTACCTGTTTAACATTTTTAGACATTTATTGATTTTTGTTTGAATCAGTTATTATTTTGATAGTTATCAAATGAGGATAACTGCCTTTTCGCTTGTTTGTAAGGATTTATTGTGATGATGTCTATAAAAGTGCTGGCATGTTACAAATTCTCAAAAATATTTTTTAAATAAAAACAATGAAACTTGAAAGAAAGATTGTCTAGCTTATATTGTCTATTAATCTTTGCAAGAGTTGGCCTCTGAAATTATTTTTGTGGGTTGTTTTGGACATGTGTCTTCAAAAAATGTCTTCCGGATTTATCAGTCGGCATTATACTGTTTGTCAAGTTTTTCCTCCTCTTCTTATTTATTTATTCATTAATTTATATTTATACAGACTCATCAGTCTGTTATTATCATTACTTTTTGATGCTCAAATTGTCCTAGACTTGGCCAAAGAGAACTTTGTCAAGTCAATTCCTTTGTCCTTTTGACAAGTCCCTCCATTCTTCGAACATTTCTTTTCTCTCTGTTCAAGAAGATGTTTCAGGCTTCTCTTATATTTTTCCCTCCCTAGCCCCAGAGTCAGTCATTCCTTCAAAGATCCCTAATTTATTTCAATGGAGAATCGTATTTAGAAACCAATATCTAGGTATCAGTTGTATCCGCTGACAGTGGGGACCTGGAGGTGGGTATCATTGCTTCTAGGCTCTCTCAGCAGATGCTGCTAGGACACATAACTATAATATGGGTGAGTGCATGCGCATACACATGAGCACACCCCTCCACATCCCTATATTGTTTCCTGTCTTTATGTCTTATCTGTGTATTTATGTATTTAAAACCATGAGTTCATACCAGTACTTGCTGGAACTATTTTCTTGATTTTTACTTCTGTAGCTCATTTGGATTCTTACAAAGTGATTCTGAAACAATTAAAATTATAAGTATTATGTAAGTCAAAATGAAGTAATAGAGATTGATCATTCTTTTTAACTGGTTGGATTGTAGGCAGATACATTTTTTTGTAATTGCAGAGAAACAGCCATAGAATATAAGAAATTTCAGGCCTGTTTTGAATTGAGGCCTCTCTGTTTTCGGTTAATCCTATTCGGCATATTTTTTTGTGCAGTTTGGAAAGTGAAGAGTAACTGTCTTTTTTTTTTTTTTTTTTTGCATATTTATTATAGGAAACGAGATTATGAAAGCTATTTATGCTCCCTGCTGCTTCCTGCACAATCCAGAAGCTCTGCTTTTGCATTGAGAGCCTTCAATGTGGAACTGGCTCAGGCTGGTATTAAAATACTTTAAAAAATTATTTGGAAAAATGGTGATATATTGTGTTTAATGCTGAACAATAAAGAAACATAGTTGTAATTTATATGTTAGATGTGTATAAGGTCTCCGCTGGTGATTTTTTTTCCCTTTTGTTTAGGCTTAATTCGATTCCAAAAATAAAACTAGCTAATGAACTTACTGTTTCTGGAAATACCATTCTGGATTTGTTTTCTTTTTTTGAGGATATGATAAAACTACGCAGTTAACATTGCACATGTGTCTGTTAATTGAATAGGTTAATCAATATTACTGTTTATCCTCCAACATTTGCATAATTTACATGTATATAGCAGTTTTCAAACACTTTTTAAATTGAGTTTTTAGCTTTAATGTGACAAGGGAAATGGAAGCAATTACAGCAAACCCAGACCTTAGATCATACTAACTCACTTTTGTCTGAAGAATTAAAAAGGGAGGAGGGACCTGTCTTTTTCTTCCACGTGTATTGGTACAATGGAAATGGAAATGGAGGATGGAAATTAGGGATTTGAAACAGAATGTCCTTTATCTTCTCACTTTCTTAAATGGAGAGATCAGTCATGGAGAGTAAGGGAGCAGGGGAGTGTTTAGAGTCTTAAAGAGGGTGGCGTTTTGGCATGAATGTGATAGGAAGTGAACAAGGAACAAATAAAAGGATGCAACGATAGCACTGAGCTGTGATTGCAGTAAGACACTGAATCTGCAGAGGCTAATAGACTCTGGCTATTTTTCCTTAATGTATTTCTAGAAATCATGGGTCCATATTTTTCACCTTATCTTTTTTCAGGTATAAAGTATACATCAGCATCTTAAGCTAGTCACAATTTAGCAGTAAAGAATCCACATTAATTACCTTTCATTATAACTTTAAAATGATTAAAATTCCATTTTTAATAAATAAACCCTTAGAGTTCCCCTGAAATTTCTCTCATTTTGTAGGAGTGTCTTGCTGCTTTTTTGCATGCACTGTCTTGTTTGTTCATTCATTCAACAAGTGTTGTCCAAAATATGCTAGACAGTGTTTTAGGTCCTGGATTATAGCACTGAATAAAACACACAAAGTTCCTTCATTCGTGTAACCAACAAGTACTGTGTAATATGTTGGATGGAAATAAGCACTGTGAAGAAAAATTAAGGGAATAGGAAAGGCCGGGTATATATATAGCAGGGGTTCCTATTTTGTGTAGGGGGGTCAGGAAAAACCTCACTAAGAAGGTAACATTCGAGCAAAGGTTCGAAGGAGGCAAGAATGAGATATGTGGGCAAAGAGTATTCTAGGCAGGAGGAACAGGAAGAACAAAGGCTCTGAGGTACCCGATACCTAGAAGAAAAAGAAGGCCAGTGCGTTATAGCAGAAGGACAGGGAGCATTGAAGGAGATTGAGTTAGAGGTACCTGGACCAGAAAGGTGAGGTCTTGGAGACCAGTACAGTCACTTCAACTTTTACTTTGAGCAGAGAAGGACATCATATTTTGGTCGTATTTTAAAAGGATTACTCTTGATTCTATGTGGAGAATAGACAAAAGCCACTGGAATCTGAACACTAAACATTGCTAAAACACCCACTCAGCACTAAGACCATTAAAAACAAACTTTTGTTTGGAAATAATTTCACACACAAAAAAGTGATAATAGTATAAAAAATACTCATATACACTTTCGTTAACATTTTGCCCCATTTTGCCCCTGTAAACTTGAGTGCGTATTTTATAAGAATAATATTCTATTACATAACCACAGTACAGTTATCAATTTGAGTATATTTGATATTGATATAATACTTTTATTTAGACTGCCATCTGGTTTCCGGTTTTGTTAAATCACATAATAATGTCTTTTATGGCATTTGGTCCCTTCTGGTACAGTATCCAATCTGGGATCAGGTATTGCATTTAGTTTTCATGTCTCTTTAGCCTCTTTTAGTCTGGAACATTTCCATAGCATTTGTCTTTTATGATATTGAAATTTGAAAAACAATACTGTTCCTTTTAAAAAATAGAATGTTTCTCATTTGGAGTTTGTTTTATTTTTTGTTATGATTATGTTGTGCATTCCTAACCTAATACTTACAACCTAAGTGGTGTGTGCCCTTTTCAGGGAATCACAGGAGGCAGGAAATGTCCATCTGTCTTTTATTGGTGATACTAATTTTGGTCACCAGTCAAGTTTTTAATATTTTTTCCCTTGGTAAATATGAGGAGACATTTTAAGACCATAGTCCTCATCAAAATTTACCTCCTAAATGGCAAACAGTTGCATGAAAAGGTGCTCAACTTCACTAACATCAGGGAAATGCAAACCACAATGATATATCACCTCACTTCTGTTAGAATGGCTGTTATCAAAAAGACATGATATAACAAGTGTTGGCGAGGAAGTAGAGAAAAGGAAACCCTTGTGCACTGTTGGAGATGTAAATTGGTGTAGTCACTGGAAAACAGTATGGAAAACTTTCCTCAAAAAATTAAAAATAGAAATACCATGTGATCCATCAATTTCACTTTTGGGTATTTATCCAAAGGAAATGAAAACAGTAACTTGAAAATGTATATGAACACCCTGTTCATTGCAGCATTATTTATAATAAATACCTTGGCTATTTATTCCATAGCCAAGACATGGAAACAATCTGTATCCATTGTTGGATGAATGGATAAAGAAAATGTAATACACACACACACACACACACACACACACACACACAGAGGAATATGATTCAACCATAAAAAAGGACATCTTACCATTTACAACAACATGGATGACCTTGTGGACATTATACTAAGTAAAATAAGAGACAAAAACTAATACATACGATTTCATTAATAAATGAAATTTAAAAAACAACCCCCCCCAAACTCATAGATACAGAGACCAGATTGGTGGTTGCCAGAGGTGGGGGTGGGGAGGTGGGTGAAATAGATAAAGGTGGTCAACGGTACAAACTTTCAGTTATAAATATGTCCTGGGGATGTAATTCACAGTATGATGAATATAGTTAATAATACTGTTTTGTATATTTGACAGTGGCTGACAGAGTAGATCTTAAAAATTCTATTCACAAGAATAAACTGTGGTTGTGGATATTAACTAGACTTACTGTGATCATTTTGCAATATATGCATATATCAAATTGTTATACATCTGAAACTAAGATACTGTTATATGTCAAATACATCTCAATTTAAAATAATTTACCCTTAGATTTAGCATGCACTGGTGATTCCTGCTTGAACCTAACACGGTCATTTTTAATCAGTAGTGAGTGACAGAGACTGTCTAATAATCTTTTAAAAAATTAATTAGTGAATGAATGCATTTATTTAAAATGTACATACAGTAAAATTCACTTTTTGTGGTGTACAGTTCTATAGGTTTTGAAAATTGCATAGTGTCATGTATTCACCACCACATTCATGATACAGAACAATTCCAGTAACCCCAAAAATTCCCTCATGTGCCCCTTTGTAGTTACTCCCACCCCTCACCCATAATCTTTTGCATATCCTAGTTTCAGGTTTTTTGAAGTAAGTCTCAAGTAAATTTTTCCATCTGTAAACGTTTCAGTATGCATCTCTAATAGATAATTTACTTAAAAATAACCACAATGCCATTATCATACATTGAAAATTTAACAATAGTTCCTTAATGTCATTAAACATCCAGTGTTCAGATTTCCTTGTGTCTCTCTTCAAATCAGTATTCAAATAAGGTCCACATGTTATGACCAGTAGATCTGGCTCTTAAATCTCTTCATCTAAATGTTTCCCCTCCCTTTTTGTTTTTTTCTTGCAATTATTTTCTGGAAGGCTCTTGTATCTTTGAATGCAGACCTTGAAACTATTTTTGCATAAGCACCAAATAATTTGCAGCTTTTACTTAGAAAACTCTTAATGGCAACAATTTAACTTAAAGGAAAAATTAAAACAAACAGGTATAGAATTAAACTTAGTTTTTGACTGACTTATGTGATTATGCAGTCAGAAATTCTGTTTTTTGAGACTGTAAATAGTGCATTTATTAACATTTTAAACACTGGTTTATAGGTTAAGGACTCAGTTTCTGAGAAAACAATTGGACTGATGCGAATGCAGTTTTGGAAAAAAACTGTGGATGATATATACAGTGACAATCCACCACATCAGCCTGTGGCCATTGAACTATGGAAGGTAAAAGAAAAAAGGGCTACTTTTAATTCGTAAGAATCATATTTGAGAGTACTTTTTGATGCATACGATTTGGATAATAGCGATGGGCAGTCTATCTTGAAAATATTCGTAGGTTCGTGTAATGTTCAGATATATGTTAGTTTGGACAGAAGAATGTAAAATCACTAATAATTTGCACAGATCTTTAGTGTGTTTCTTAAAGGAAAAAAGAGGAATCTGATCTCTTTATGTTATAAATTATTTTTTCACATATTTGGTTGCAGAATTTAAACCCTACACATTTTAAAGCTATAGCTGGTAAATTTTCTGTTCTGACTGCCCAGCAGCTCCTTATTCCAGTGCTTTAATCCATACTCTGGGCTATAGAGAAACGTGTTGATCTTTTGTGAAGGGAGACATGCTTTCACTATTGTCCAGACACAAATCAAAAAATGCTGTTCTAGTTTGATATAATTATCTATTCGTTGATGACTTTTAGGTATTAGAAAATGAGCTAGAATATTGTTTGTATAGACAGATGTATGTAGTTTTATATTTAAGTAGCTAAATGGATCCCTCATTCATAAACAGCCATGCGCAGTTTAGAAATATGCTAAACTGTGAACAGAAGAAGGAAATTAGGTGCCTTTCAGTATTGATCTGTGTCCCCACTGTAATATGATGAATGCCAAAAGACAGTTTCTGTAACAAGAGCCTCTGCCAGACCTGACAGTGGTACACCTCTTCTCAGGCCTGCGCACCAGCAGAGGCAGACCCCGTTTCTGGGCCCCAGATTGACTTCACAGAGCCCCAGTAAGGATGGAAAGCCAGGCCCCTCCCCTCCCCACTGGGGACTGAGAAGAAAAAGTGGATGGGAAGCTGTGAGTATTAGATTAGTTGTTAACCTCTACTCATCCCTTCAAGAACCTCAACCTAGGTGACTCAGAATGGAGAAAAATTATAATCCAGAAACTTTATTATTTTATACACAAACCTGACTTCAGTAGAGGTTTATGCTAAGACTTGCACTGAAGGTTCTGGCCTTTGTCCAGAAATATCATGGACAATTGGAGATTCCTTTAACACAAATTTATATTGCCTTGGCTTCTCTTTGAAAAACCAGAAGACATCTGAATTACAGAATGTTTACATGTGTGCCAGTTTGTCCATTTTTATAATGCTTAAATTTTGATGATTAATGTTGGCCAGCTTTCTGAGATGACTGGTGTTGAAAACTAATAGGAATATTTAAAAGAAGCAGGTAGTGTTTCGAGCATTTGCCCTCTCTGTGTGTCCTCTATCCCTCCCCATTCTGTGAGAACATATACATATTGTACCACTCTCCAGTATAAAACTTTCCATTGGTTTTTGATAGTGTCAGGTTCTTTAGAAGATTAAATAGGGAAACAGTGACGGTGTTGTCCAGAGAGCACTTTCTTGCTGCTTTCTTTCATTGGTGCCTTTGGGGTACAAATAATTGAATATATATAATTTCTTGTACATTTCATATGGGCTTCTCCATTTCTCTGTTTATTAATTTTAGTTGCAGTTTAAATTTATGTTTATTGCCACGGTTTTTATTCTATTTGACTTCTCTTTGCAGTTTTGATACTTTATTCAGGTGGTTTTTGGCTTATAAATATTTTTTACATTGATCTCTGATTTCCTTCAGAATTAGACAGAAGAACTATATTTTGTGATCAAGGAACTGCAGCTGTTATATTTTCAGCCTTGAGTAAAGAAGACTCTGACTTTTCATTGGTTAAATATTTATTGAGTACTTTATATGCCAGGAATGGTGTTTGACAACATGGTTACAAAGCTCAAACATGCCCTGCCCCACTCAGATACGTGCAAAATAAGATAAGAGCAGTACTCTGTAAAGAGTGAGGAATCCCAGGCTGATTCTTGGGGTTGGGGAGAGAAGCCTGTGGGGAGTCCTGCTGTGTGATAATAGTAGTGCCCAGAAGAGCACTTGGGAACCAACTCCATGCAGTCCTTTTAGCTTCTGTTAGGTTGCTGCCACGCAAAGTGGGCCCCTTTGTCACATAAATGTGTATTGGTGTGCGTGCTAGCTAGCCTTTATATTTTAATGTCAGTGACATCTTAGTGTCTAAGTTGAAGCATAGAATATTCCTAAGACTTTATGTTTCACTACTGTTACTGTTGTGAAAATATATCATACTTAATGTTAATTTGGCAAGAAAACGATGTTTTTAAAACTTGTTTGGAAATAATTTCAAACTTTCAGAAAGTTCTCAAAATTAAAAATAGTGCAAGAACATCTTTGTACCCTTTACTCAGACTTACCTATTGTTAACATTTTATCCATTTGTTAATCATTTGTATATGTTCACTCAATGTATGTATGTGTGCATGCTTGAGTTCTCTCTCCTGTCTCTGTATATGTATTTTCACACTCAGTTTTTTTCCTGAATCATTTGAGTGTAAGTTACAGACATCATGGCCCTTTATTTCTGAATACTTTACTATTTCTTAAGACTAAAGACATTCTCTTAGATAACCAAAACAGTTACTGATTTTAGTAAATTTATCTTTGATATAACACTTATCTAATTTTCATAATACAGTTTTTTCAGTTGACCCAATAATGGCCACTAAGTTATTTTTCCCCTCCTGTATAGGATCCAGTCTAGAGTCAAGTATTATTTGCCATGTGTCTTTAGCCTACTTTAATTTGGAATATTTTCACAGCTTTTCTCTATCTTCTTGACATTTTTGAAGAGTATAGCCCCTCCAAGGTATCACATCTGGAGGCAAATTTTGTGCATCTATTCTTTATTGGAGTTGTTAATTTTCATCATCCAGTCAAGATGTTGCCTGTTTTTTCCCATTGTATAATTCATTGTGCAATTATAATTCCCCTGGCAACTAATCAACTTTAAGACAATGCATATTCTACTCCTCATTAATTTCCCCTAAAACTTAGCATTCATTGATGATTCTAATTTGATTTAGTATTTACTATTATGATTGCAGAATGATAATTTTCCAATTCTAATACTCTGTCCACATTTACCAGTTGGCACTCTACTATAAGCAAGAACTCTCACTCTCCTATATTTATTTGTTTATTAATTATTGTTATGGACTCACGAATCCCTATTTTTTTCTAGTAGTTTCTAATTCATAACTAAACTTAATTATTTTGATGTTCAAATAGTCCCAGGTTTGGATAGCGACCCTTTAAACTGGCTCCTGTGTCTTTAAGACATGCCCCCCCCCTCCAATTTTTTTGAACACTTTCTATTTTCTGGCATAGTAAAATATTCTGGGATCATCTTGAATCTCCCTTGCCCCAACTCTGGAATCACTCATTTCTCTAGAGCCCTATTTTTTTTGGGGGGAATGGTATTATAGACCAAGATCTGGGCACCATGTATGCTCTTTCCTACTGGAGTGTCTTTATTTGCTAAAATAACACTGTCTCCTGCAGATTATCATCTTTGGAGTTTTAGTTACTCTTTTCCTTTTTGGAGAAGTGGTTATTTTCATTAAATAGTATCTTTAATGAAAGATACTATTTTATTAAAGTTTGTAATAAGTAAGCTTAGAAGTTAGGGTGCATCACATAACAAGCTCAGTATTGAATTCTTGTTTTTGTTTTGAAAGTGGAATCGTCAAATTACTAATAGTATAAGAAGAAAAGACAGATTAGTGGAAAAGTTTTGGATATATTATCTTTACTTGGAAATGTTTTGAAATGTTTTCTGGGGACATTTTCTTTTCCCCTGGTATTTCTTTAACACGGATGTTTATCTGGTGATGAATTATTACAAATGTTCCTTTACTTAGTTTTATATTTGGCTGTTATTTCATTCAGGTCTGCAGAAGTAATTTTTCGTACTTTCTACTTACAACACTCTTGTTTTTAGGCTGTCAAAAGACATAATCTGACTAAAAGATGGCTTATGAAAATCATCGATGAAAGAGTAAGTTGAAATTGCTAAATTCTTAACTTTTTTTTTCCTTTTTAATCCTTAAGCTAATTTTTCAGGGGGGAAATATTTTAGTATGTGTATGTGTGGAGATATTTAGAGAACTATGTGATTTTATCCATTCTCTATCACTGTATGCTACCTGCCTCAGTCCCTCCTCTCCCCCTGCACTTTGAGGCAGACAAGTAAAGACGGGCACCCAGGCGGAGGCATATGTGTACACATCCACACTCTACTGTTTGGGGTTTTTTTAATGGAAATTTTCATTTCAATTCTACATACAGATGTAGAGAGAATAGTGTAATTTACTTTCATGTATCTGTCACACAGCTTTAATAGTTTATAAACACATGTCCAGTTTGTTTCATTTATATCCTACCAACTCCCCTCACTAACTGCCATTGGATTGTTTTAAAGTAAACGCCAGGCATTTGATCTGCAAATATATATGTGTCTTGAAAAGATAAAAACTTAAAAAAACATAACCACAATACAATGATCATATCTTAAAAATTTATGGGTAGTTCCTTAATATCATCAAATCTTGAGTAGTCATACACATTCCTTTATGTACACCCAGTATTTGGATCAATGTCCAAATAGTGAAAGGAATAAGGAAAGTGTGAGGGTTCTAGTGAGTGGAATTCTATACTAAATTCTTATAACTGAGTTCTAGTTCCAGCAAGCATCAAGTGTACAAATTGCTCGATGACCTGAGCTGACTTGTATAATCTTTCTGACACATTGTTGTCTCAGTGTCCTTACTGGCCTGATATTCATCATGTGCTGTTGTCATGAAAATGTAAGTTAACTTACTCTGTTTGGATATGATCTACTAATAACCGTAAGCTGTGGTATTAATATAAGCCAAAATGAGATAATGACTTCAGCATTAATAAAAATTGCTCCATTGGCCTATAGGGTTAATCAGCACTAAGAAAAATCTGTTTTTTCAAATGTCTTCTGTTTTTATGGTGTAAAGAAAATTAGAGAACTCAAGATAGAGATAACTTTTCTGTTTAATGGAAAATAACATTTGGCCTTTGCCGGAAGGGATATTTAAAAATAATGGACTGGGATCAATTGCCTCCTCATTGATCTATAGATTCAGTGCAATCCCTGTGAAAATTCCAGCTGCTTTTTTTGCAGAAATTGACAAGTTGATCCTAAAATTCCTATGGGACACAGAATCACCAAGATAATCTTGAAAACAAGAATAAAGTTGGAGGACTCATATTTTTCGATTTTGAAACTTAACTACAAAGTTACAAAAATCAAACTGTGTGGAGTTGGCATAGCGTAGACATATAGACCTATAGAATAGAATTGAGAGTCCAAAAGGGTGTGAAGGTAATTCATTGAGGGAAAGAATAACCTTTTCAACAAATGTTGCTGGGACAACTAGATATCCACATGCAAAAGAATGACTTTGGACTTCTACCTCACACAACTTACAAAAACTTACTCAAAATGGATCCAAGATCTAACTGTAAGAGTTAAACTGTAAAACTCTGAGAAGAAAGTATAGGTGTAAATCTTAGCAACTTTAGGTTGAGCAGTGGTTTCTTAGATATGATACCAAAAGCAGAAGCAATAAGAGAAAAATAGATAATTTGACTTCATCAAAATTTAAAAATTCAAGAAAGTAAAAAGACAATCCATAGAATGGGAGAAAGTATTTGCCAGTTATATTTGATAAAGGGCTGGTATCTAGAATATGTACAGAACTCTTCAAACTCAGCAGTAAAAAATGATAATCCAATTTAAAAATAGGCAAAGAATTTGAGTAAACATTTCTCCAAGGAAGATATACAAATGACCAGTAAGCACCTAAAAAGATGTTCAACATCTTTTCATTAGGGAAATGCAAATCAAAACTACAATGAGATACTGGTAACTTCATATCCTTTAGAATAGCTATAATAGAAAAGATGAATGATAACAAGTGTTTGTGAAGATGGAGAAATTGGAACATTTCATACATTACTGATGGGAATGTAAAATTGTACAGCTGCTTTGGAAAACAGTTTGGCAACTCTTTAAAAAGTTAAACAGAGTTACCATAGACACAGCAGTTTCATTCCTAGGTTTATACCCAGGAGTAATGAAAACATATGTCCACACAAATGTTTATAGCAGCATTACTTATAATAGTCCAAAAGTGAGAACAACGTATAGTCTGTCAGTGAATGAATAAACAAGATATGATATATCCATAAAATAGAGTATTTATTATTTCTTCAATTAGAAAGAGTGAAGTACTGATAGATGCTCCAACATGGATGAACCTTGATAACATGCTAATTGAAAGAAGCCAGATACAAAAAGCCACATATTGTATCATTGTATGTTTTTAAAATGTCTAAAACAGACAAATCCATGGAAACAAAGTAGATTAGTGGTTTTTCAGGAGATGGAAGTAAGGGATATGGGAAGTGACTGCTTAATGGATATAGAATTTCTTTTTGAGGTGATAAAACCATTCTGGAATTAGTGGTGATAGTTGCACAACTTTGTGAATATACTAAAAACCACTGAACTCTTTATTTTAAAGGGTAAAATTTTATAGTATGTGAATTATGTGTCAATTTTTCTTAAATGTAAAAGATCTGGACATATTTTTTTCCTGGGATCGTTGCTGGTGCCAATTTCCTCCTGACCAAAAAAAAAAAAGGAGGAAGGGGTATATTACCTTGGCAACAGTCTTTGTATTATTGTAAAAGTGACTAGATTTTACTAAGATTTATATTTTTCTGTTTCTTGGATAGAGTGTGTTCAGTTCATCAATCCTGCTACTTTATTGAGCATGGTTTCTTTTGCGGCAGGGGAACTGGGTATAAATTGCCTTTCTTTTTCTAGGCACCTTTTCCTTTTTAAGGACATGGGCTTAATAGTCAAAATGTGTGGGTTTGAATCTTATCCCAACCATTCATTAGCTGTGTGACCTTGGGCATGTTACTGAATGTGTCCATGGCTCAGTTCTTCATCTGCAAAATGGAAAAAATATTAATTTATTAACTTTTGGAGGGGTTGCTAAGATTAAGAAGATAATGTCTAAAGTGAGAGCTCAGTGAAGTCAGTTTCTCATGATACCTTGGGCTATTAAAGAAATTAAAAATTAGGTCAACCCATGTTCATGGTGATTTGTGTATTGAGATTATTCCTAAGGTATTATTTTTGAGGGTGATTTGTAAGAATGAATGTATAGAACTTTAATATTTAAATTTTATTTTAATCTTACCGTGTACTAAATATATACTTAATATCTTTATTATTTATTACTCAGTCTTTTTGAGCAAAACAAGTGTCTTTCTATATAAATTTTGATAATTCAGCAAATTGTTTGCCTTTTGTTTGACTGTAGGAAAAAAATTTGGATGACAAAGCATATCATAATATCCAGGAACTGGAAAATTATGCCGAAAACACACAGAGCTCTCTTCTTTATTTAACACTAGAAATACTAGGTAAGGTTTTCTTTCTATTTCATACTTTTTCAAATAAAACACCTTTCAGACTTCATTCTTTTATAATTTGACAATCTAACCAGTTTAACACTGAAGTTTTTGTGCTATTTATAACAAA